GCCGTCAGATACACAGGGGGATAAACACGTACTTTGTGTATGTGCCGTAACTGTTGTATACTGTCGGTAGTGTGATTACATCCTCTACGCGGGGGCGGCTAGAAACAGGTTCATAGTATGGTCATCTCTACTATGGGTGCTGGCTAATTGTAATCGGGCGGACGCATGTAAAAGCGTCTTAAATCAAAGCTCAAATCCAAGGTGGAACAGCATATGCCGAGGGATGAATGGCCGTGGATAGTTGGTCTTTAATATGCGAACTCTGGATACCTGTCGACCTCCAGTTTTAATTTAGACTTCTCACGATAAACGGGCTATGTCGTGTGTAACCTTCCAATCCCGAATATAAATAATTTTTGTATGGACAATTTAAATAATACAAATGAGCTTGATGTCACTCTAACGGCATCATCTTCAAATGATTCCTTTACGGAATTATCTGTAGCTGAGTGTGTGCCGGCCACTGGGCTGGAAGCCTCCACCCATTTCGACAGCGCTACTGTGTGCGTCAAAATGGACCCGGACAGGCCACCGTCTACTTCTCCGCTTGCGGAAACGGTGTACGCACCAGCAGTAACTTCGTCGCGATCTCAGGTAAGGCGGCAGGAAATTATTGAGATCTTGTCTTCAAATTCCGAAGCCGTTGAAGCCATTCCGGCTGGCACTTCGCTCTCTACAGAGCAAATTATGCTTCTCCAAGAAGCCATTATTGATGTTGCTATTGAGCAACACAACGACGAAATACAGCCGGAGTTCGAAGGGTGTTTACCTAGAACGGGGTGGCTGCTTATCGTCTGCAGTGATGCAAAAACTGCGAAGTGGGTCAAGCAATTTTCAGGCCACATAGGGGCCAAATGTGGACTCGCTATAAACGTGGTAGAGGAAAAGGATTTCCCACGAACTCACATCGTTCGTGGCTATTTTCCTCAGAGTTTGACACTGTCAAACGAAAAAGTTCTGGCTACCATTGGTACCCAGAACAAATTCTCCACCAAGCGGTGAAAGGTGATACGTAGGCTGACGCAGGATCAGATGCTTCACCTAGTCTTCGTCATTGATGACGAATCTATGAGGAAGTTGTCCGAACTTAAAGGTAGGATTGCATACCGGTTCGGGAACCACCCCCGCTCATTCTCACCCCATAGACAATACTCCAAAGGTGGTTCAGGATGATAGTACTATCCAATCATCCTCGGCTTCGGCAGCATCCCTTACGGAAGTTTGCCCAACAGTGACTGTTCCTGAGGAAGAGGAACTAGACACACGTCCCTCCACAAGCAAGGCTGTGAGCTCTGCTAGTGGGCGTGTAGTTCAGATTCCCACCTCGGTAACTACATCCACAATGCCCTCCACGGGCACGACAACTGTAGCAGGTAAACCACGGACCGCTACCAATAAAACACCCTTAATCGGTAAAATTTTACCAAAGATATCAAAGGGTGATAGGAACAAAGGTTCTCGACGAGACAAGCGTGAAAGTCTCGTCCGTAAGTCTCTTAACGAGATATAATGAGCGCTCTTGAAGTGCTCCAGGCAAATATGCACCATGCTAAGGGAGCATCGGCCACCTTGTGCAGAATTGCCCAAACCGCAACATCGCTCTAGGACTTATCCAAGAGCCGTGGGTGTTTGGTGGCCACATTCGGGGTCTCAACACAAAATCAGGTAAGCTGGTTTATGACCGTTCGATAGCAGTGCCACGTGCAGCTATCCTAATCGGTGGAGATGTAAAATATCTTCCGTTAACCAACTTTATTTCTAGAGACCTAGCAGCGGTTCTAGTCGAAGTCCCAACACTAGGAGGGGCCACAGATATAGTCATGGCCTCTGCCTACTTCCCAGGTGATGAAGAAACCATTCCACCATCGGAAGTCCAGCAGCTGCTCAACTTCTGCAAGTCCACTGGGCGGCAGCTAATCTTGGGCTGTGACGCTAATGCTCACCACACAGTGTGGGGAGCAGCAACGATAACAAAAGGGGTGAGTACCTATTAGATTATATTATGTCGATAGGATTAAGTATAGCTAACAAAGGTAGTAAACCCACTTTTATTAATTCAATTAGAGAAGAGGTATTAGATCTCACTCTTTGCACCAGAGGTATTGAGGAATCTATATGGAACTGGCGAGTGTCGGACGAAGTGTCCCTCTCAGACCATCAACATATTAGGTTTGAAATTCCCGGTATATCCGAGCAGCAAGATAAAGTGTACCGACCACAGAAAACCAATTGGCTTAGGTACAGGGACTTGGTGGGTTCCGAAAATTTTTCTCTAGCTAGGCCACTAAGAACTCGTGAAGAGATAGAGTTGGCTGCAAACCATTTAGGTGAGGTTTTACTGACCTCCTTTCACAACAGCACGGTTGCAGGTAATGCTTCAATTAGAGGTAAGGTTCCTTGGTGGAACTCGCAACTAGCTAATAAGCGTAAACTAGTAAGAAGCTTATTCAATAGAGCAAAACGCTCTGGTAGTTGGGAACATTATAGAACAGCACTCACCGACTACAACAATTCAATCAGACAGTCCAAACGGGCCAGCTGGCGTAGCCATTGTGATAGTATTGATAGGTTGCCTGAGGCTGCTAGACTACACAAGGCTTTAAATAAGGTCAAAACAAATGAAGTAGGCCTTTTAAAAAAACCGGACGGATCCTTCACTACTGGTCGTGAAGATACCCTCGAGTTTCTCTTGCAAACACACTTCCCTGGCTCCGTAACCGGACCACCAACATCACATTCATATAGGGAAGTTACTGCTCCTACATGTCAGGAATACGCACTATCTGGTGTCATCTTTGACAGGGACAAGGTGAAATGGGCGATCAACTCATTTCAACCATTTAAGGCGCCTGGAGGCGATGGTATCTACCCTGCTCTATTGCAGAATTGTATAGACATCATCATAGACCCATTAATAAAACTCTTTAGGGCTTGTTTTACTATGGGTTATATCCCTCATTCCTGGAGAGGAGTGAACGTGATCTTTATTCCCAAACTTGGGAACAAACCTATGGACCAACCCAAGTCCTACAGACCCATTAGTCTTACGTCTTTCTTATTGAAAACCGTCGAAAGGCTGATTGATCTGTACATACGGAATAAATTGGAACAAACTGTCCCACTCCACTCCACCCAATATGCCTACTCAAAAGGCAAATCTACAGAGGTCGCGCTGTATCATTTAGTCAGCAAAATTGAAAGCACGTTTCAATCTAAAGAGATCGCCTTATGTGCATTTCTGGATGTAGAGGGAGCTTTCGATAACACATCTTACGAATCCATATCTGGAGCACTGGCCCGTAAAGATATAGACTCATGTACAATAACGTGGATAGATAGAATGTTGCGTGATAGGAACATATCCTCCAAGTTAGGTAGCACTATCGTAAGCATTAATGCTGTACGGGGCTGCCCCCAGGGTGGGGTTCTCTCACCATTGTTATGGACGCTGGTAGTCGATGACTTACTAGTTAAACTGGAGCAATCTGGGTATCATGCCATAGGTTATGCAGATGACTGGCAATCATTGTTACAGGTAAATTTGACACCACAGTTACAGACGTAATGCAGGCGGCATTACACAAAGTCTCGAACTGGTGTATCAAAGAAGGCCTAAGTATTAACCCAAAAAAAGCGGTAATTGTACCATTTTCTAGAAGGTACAAAGTAAATATTGGGTCCCTATCTATTAAGGATACGGCTATTGAATGCTCCGATGAAGTCAAATATTTAGGG